TCGGCCCAACTTAAAGAGCCTAAGGGCTAACCTAAAAGAGCCTAAGGGCCGACCTAAAAGAGTCTAAGGACCGATATAAAAGAGTCTATGGGCCAAAACATATAGGTTTCGAGATCTCGTTCCCACTCAACTCGGACTCAAGGGTCCCATTATCCCGAGCTCACGCCAAATCAACTTAAGACTAGATCAAAGACTAACAAAAACCTTAAGAGGTATTCTATTCTAAGTTCGAGGATCACACGTTGATCACTAAAAAACCTAAGGATTGTTATATTCGGAGTCCGAGCCAAGGTTCATTTAATCATTGAAGTTATCAAATTTTTCACAAAATAAAGACAATGCGGAATTAAAGATGAAGCAAAGGAATTCTTTATAGAGATGTTTACAAAATATATTTACAATACCCACGAGGGGTCCTTGCATAAAAACACTGAAACAAAAGAAAGAAACCTAAACCTACTCTGGGCCACATCTTCGGCAGCTGCATCTTCGGGGACTTCATCTTCGTCTCCTCCGCTCTCGAAGCCACTAGCTGAATCTTCGTCATCAGAAAGTAAAGCGGCGGCCTCTTCTTCCGAAGTTTTTGCCTTATCAATATCGACTGAGAGATAGAAGCCGCGAGCATGCACCTCCTCGAGGGTTTCTCTCCGGGACTGTCGCCTGGCGTGGTCAAGTGCACATGATAGTTTGACTTCGGCCGCAACACAGATTTCCTTTGCCCGGGTGTTAGCTGCTTCAGCGTCATCTCGGTACGAAGATATAAATGCTTCTGCATCAGATTTAGCCTTGGCAAGCTCAGCAGCAGATTTAGCTTCAAGCTCCTCGATTTTACGGCTCCGAGCCAGGCTCTCCTCCTTCACACTTTGAAGCTGGCGTTCGATTGAAGACAGTTGCTCCCGAAGAGTATCTTTCTCCGAGGCGAGACGGTCCATGCCTTGCCTCTACCCTAGGGTCTCGGCCTCCTTCATCTTGAGCTCCTCTCGGAGCTGCTACACCAGCTCGGCCTTTTGTTGAGCCTGCAAAGTTGAAATGTTAGCCGACCAATCGGACAAATGCATAATAAAACTCCAAAGGGTATATTACCTTTTCGACAAGCTCGGTCCGTTCTTGACGAGCCTCTGCCAGTTCAGCTCGAAGGTCACTGATATCTCCCTTCTTTTTGACATAGAGGATCTTAAGGCCATCCCTCTCTTTCGAGAGCTTCTTGAGCTCGGCCTCACATCGAGCAAGCTCAGCTCGAGACTTGGAAAACGCCTCTCGATGGAGCGTCACAACCTTCACAAAAAAAAAAGTTAGACTCAGAGCAACAAGGATAAAACATAAGCGTAATTTTAAAGGACAGAAGCTTACTTGTTTGAAGAGCCGATGTGCCTCATCAAAAATGAAAGAAGCATCTGGATCGGGACCATCTTCGATCCCTGCAAGGAATTCTCGAAAGATATCGTGCCCCTCGTGGCTCGTCCCCACATCAGGAGTTCTCATGTTCCGAGCATCTCGAAATTGCCCCTCTGATCCACGTTAATTACCCCAAGTGATCCACTCGGGGCATTCTCCTCTCTTTGAAGGGCCTCGGGACCGGGCCCCTTGGTCTCACCCTCCAAATGACCTCCAAGACGAGGTGCTCTTTTGCTGCCCGATGGCTCGTGGACTTTGCTCGAACTCCCCTCGGAGATTTCTTCAGTTCTAGAATGAACCGCATCAGCCATCATCGGTTCAGTAGACTTCGAAGCGGCAGTGCTCCCTCTTTTCCGAACTACCAACAGGCAGTCGTCATCTTCTCCTTCTTCATCCTCGTCCCGAAAGCGTTGGGCCGTTTATGAAGATAGGACCACAGTATCAGCTTTAGGCTTTCGAGCCACGCTTTCCTTTGGCTTTGGGGGATTTGCAGGCGACCCCCTCTTTCTTTTCTTTTCCTTGGAAGGCTTTGAGATCTCTTCTTCACCGGGCGGGGGCGGCCGCATAGCAACGACGACTCCGAGGCCTGCATAAAGACAAAGTAAGTATTTCGCTGAGGAACACAAGTAAACAAGCAAGAGAACTCACCGTGGTTTTTAGCCTCCCATCGACCTTTGTCCAGATCACACCAGCAGCGCTCCGCGTATAAGGAGGTAGAGGCCAGTTTTCGGACCCAACCTTCGAGGTCAGGAACCGCACCAGGAAACCAAGCAACAGCTACACCATCGGAAAGGGGTTATATCGAGAAAAAGATGAAGTCAAGAAAGAGAAGAGGAAGCAGGATATAAAGTTACTGTCGATAAGCATGTACTTACGTTTCATGTTCCATTCCTCGGGGAATGGCATCCTCTCATCAGGAATCAGGTCGGAGGTCCCAACTCGGACAAACCGGCTCATCCATCTTCGGTCTTTGTCCTCATCGATGATGAAGAAGAAAGATTTCAAGGATCGGCATTGCAGCTTTATCAAGCCACCTCGATAAAGGCGAGGGCTATACAGCCTGATCAGATGGTCAAGGGTAAGAGGCATCCTCTCGACCTGGCTCGAGAAGTATCTGATCAAATTGACGATTTGCCAGAACGAGGGGTAGATCTGGCCAAGCGTCACTTGGTATTGTTGGCAAAAATCAAGGATAACTAGATCTATGGGACCCAGAGTTGGATTTGCGGAACCCAGCGTGAATGGGTAGGTATACACGCTTAAGTGCCCCACTTTATATGTAGTGATGTCCTCCTCGGGGGAAGGGATCACTACATCTTTGTTCTACCAGTTGTAGTCCTTTTTCACCTGCTCAAGCTCGTCTTCGGTTATCAAACAGATGTATCAGGACATGGGCTCACATCGGCCTGGTGTCGATACAGGTTTTTCAATTTTGAAATCGAATGTTGTTTCACACGTCGGGGAAATACACTCCTCGATATGAGGTGGCACCACCGTTTTACTTCTGGCCGACCGCGATGATGAAGAGAATTTTTCTTTTTGGGGAACAGATTTAGATGTTTTAGCCATTATTATGTAGAAATTCAAAGAGAAAGGGTTTATGATGAAGTAAAGGCAAATTAAAGAGAAGGATATTATGAAGTTGGCCTATTTATAGAAGTCACTTACACGTATTGGGGAAGCCAAATAGCCGACCATGAGCGGCCTCCAATTAATGACTTTGGGAACTGCACGAAAGCGACCTTTCAGTCACATTAGCCGCTGACATTACGAGATTGACATGGGACCGAGGCTTCGGAGCATCAAAGATCAAATCGTTTCTTATCGACCTACTCTAAGAAACGCGGGGACTATCTGTATACGGTCAAGATCGCGTGCCTTCGATCTATAGGCTCGAGGGATCGCCTTAAGCTCGAGTTCAGGCAAGGTCGAATTCGAGCCCGATGGATCGGACTCGAGCTCGAAGATAAGATGCAAGGCCTGAGGATCAGAGTGCGATGAATACCGAAGCTGAGTACGCTCGACCTCGAAATAATGCCGTTATGAATTTCTAACAGAATGAGCGAGATTCCTGCCACGTCCCTAAGATCATGGCGCAAATCCCGGAATAAGATTGTACGATTCCGTACTAGGCGGTTAGACAGTTGTACCAATAATATTTCTTACTGTAAATAGAAATGTACCTTATTTAGGGTTTCCCTATTATATAAAGGGCACCCCAATCATTTGTAACATCAATCATTGGAAAAGAATATACCATCCTACTTTTCTCGCTTATTGTTCATCAGAGGTGTCCTTTTACTTTATCGTTCTTACTTTATTGTTCTTGATTCATCTCGAGGTCACTGAGCTTGAGGTCGATACCGCTAAACAACACTGGTTTGATTTACTTGTTTCTTTCATCTATAACTCACATTTCTTGATTATTAATTGGTATTGAACTTAATCACATATATTTAAACCCACAAAACAAATTTAATTGTTACTCATATTTTCGAGGTAAACAATGGGGTTGTAGAGAGTGGGGGCGAGAGTAGAGACAGAGCCACAATTTGAAGTTTATGGGTTTTGATATTGTCATCGAGTCCATAGCTCGTTTAGTTATTGGGTTTATAATTAAATATGTATACATACTTAGTGAATCTCTTAATACATATAAAGTACCGTAAAAGTTAGTGAATACATCCAAACCGGTACCTACTTCTCTAGCTCCGTCCGTGGGCGGGAGTATGATTAAGGGAAGGTGGAGAAAATAAAAGTTTGCTTAATGGATTTGGGGAGAAGTTCGTTGTTTAGTTGTCAACTCATGGGAATGAATAAGCTTTTCTTGACTCATCTATTCTTCCATGCAAAAAGTTATTCCTTACATTATATAAAAATCCGTTTTCTATTAATTAATTATAGCAGTAGTAGTCAAAGGATTATAATAATATGATTAGGTAATATGATATGGTTTTCCAAATAACCTCAAACTTGGTCCACCAATCATTCTCATTCTATCTGCCCCATCACCTTTTTGCTTTCTGATGTAAAGTTGGTTTACCGCTAATAAATTAACCAATTTCATATACTAGCTAATAGAATTGAACAACCACTACTCTTTTTTATTTTTTTTTTATTTTTATTTTTATGGCCGTGGTATTCGGGCCAGGACTTGGACAAATAGAAAGAAATCACCAAAAATATTTTTTATCTTCGCTCGAATTTGAACTTATGATTTTATGGTTCTCATCCTTCATTGACTACAAAACCATGGGATACTCTTCTTGCTGCTTTAGCTAAGTAAATTTATAGTGTTACTACATAAAAATAAATTGATTTGAAAAAAATCATTTTCAAATTCTAGATACATGACTAGAATTAGACAACCACATTGCTCCATCGTATCTTAACTAATTAGACCAGTAAGAAAAATAATGATGATCAGCTCAAAAGATAATTAAACAACCACCCTCCTTGCTAGCTCCATTAGCTAAAAGAATTATAATTCTTGTAATAAATTAATTCATTTTAGCAAAATATAATTTAATATAACCTACTTTTAGAACAAACCCTCCTCATACCTCTCTATATAAGCTCTATACCACCTTATCATTCTCATCACAACCAAGCAAATCATACTCATTGAGCAATCAAGAAAACAAAAGCAATATTCAAGACTCAAAAATTTCTCTTTTTTGTTCCCTACTTGTTTTATCTCTTTAATCAAAATGGAGAAAAGTCACGAGTCAACCACGATTGAAATGGGAGAGACCAGCAAATTAGAAAGGAGAGGAAAAGCACCACTTTTGGGATCAACTCCTGCTATTGCTGCTGTTGTTGGACATAATAAGGGAGCTGCTAAAAACAAGAAAGGCATTGCTATTTTTGACCTCGTCTTGAGAATTGCAGCTATTGCTACTTCTATTGGTGCTGCTGTTGGCATGGGCACTGCTGGAGAAACTCTTCCTTTCTTCACTCAATTCTTTCAATTTGAAGCTGGTTACGACGATCTTCCTACTTTTACGTAAGTAATTACATTATCAGAATATATTTTTAAACCTATTTATGGTATATTTATAGTCCGCCTTATTTTCTTGTGATCGTGTCACTAATATCACCTTAATTATATGAAAGTCACTTATGGTCATTTTTTTCTACACTATAAATCTTAGTGGCGGAGCCACATTCAAGCAAGGGATGTTGACACTGCTTTGCCGGAAAAATAAAAAATATTGTTAGATATTTTTTGTTTATTTTATGTATATTAACTATACGCAATTGACTCTCCTTAACTTTTCGATATATATATCTAATATTTGCATGTATAATCAGAAAATAATTATATTGTTGCCTATATATTTTGCAGGTTTTTTGTGGTAGCCATGTCAATAGTGGTTGGCTACCTTGTCCTCTCAATACCTTTCTCCATTGTGTGCATTGCACGCTCCCATGCAGTTGTTCCAAGGCTGCTCCTCATCATCTTTGACACTGTAAGAACTAGTACTACTTATAACAAATATCAAACCCAAACTTGAATAGCAACTCTAAATAATTAAACTGATGATAAATTTCACAAATGATTATATAATCGAGGATAAATTTCACAAATTGACATGTCATCGAAAAATTGTACGTTGGTAAAACTATTATGATTTTTGTATTAAAAAATATAGTTATATGACTCTGGTAAAAAGAAAATCTTAGTTATATACCAGCTGTGAAATTTATTTAAAAAATCAACATACAGATATCTAATTTTCATTGTTGGTCACATTTTACAGGCCTTTGTCACATTGACAACAGCGGCAGCAGGGGCTTCGGCAGCTATAGTGTATTTGGCTCACAACGGAAACCAAGACGCTAATTGGCTAGCATTTTGCAACCAATTTGGTGATTTTTGCCAAACAACCAGTGGAGCAGTGGTGGCGGCCTTTGTCACAGTTGTTATCTTTCTTTTAATGGTTCTTCTCTCTGCTATAGCTCTTAAGAGACATTAAAGCTATAGTAATATTCACTTTGATCTTTGTATTTCATTCTTGTTACTTTTGTAATTTATTCCCTTGTCAAATGTGCTTCCTTTTTTATTCTTTTCTTTTTCTGTTATTTGGGTGGGGAGAGTGTGGGTATTGGTTTGTATTGTTGTGTTGGTGTTTGTAGCTTTTAATGAAGAAAGAAAAAAATTATAAATTACAATTGGTGAAGTATGAGAATTTCTGTTCCACTTGCAATTTTCTTATTAGACTTCTCTTACAATTTTTCTCCCAGTATATAAATTACTTGCCTATATTTCATTTTTGCGTTATCTATCCAACACAAATTTCTATCTAATTTGTTATTTTGAAAATTGCTTATTAAATTTTGATTTAATATGTTCTGACACATAAAACCAATCTAAATTTTTATTTATAAATTATGAACCTCTTTTCTTAACCCGATAATCAAACCGATAAGATATTGGTTATCGGTTATCGATCATTATCGGTTCGGTTATCGGTTTATTCGATAAAATAAAACAACTAAAACAGTTTCGCAATGTATAAAACTATTTCACAATGTATAAAATAGTTTCCGTATAAAGCTGTTTTGCTAAAACACTTTTATAAGATTTTAAGAACTGTTTGCTAAAACTCTTTGAAGAACTGTTCTATTACACAAGAATTTAAATTTAGTGCAACATCTAATAAAATAAACACTAACCAAAGTTTCTATCTTTCATTCTTCAACCCAAAAATATAAACAAAAATCCCAATATCAGTCAGTGACGGAAAAATAGAATATCAGTCATATTTTTACTTCGACACTTTCTGCAAATACAAGGGATCTAAATGAATAACAAATACAAGTGTTAGCCACGATGCACATGTTTGTGATGTAATTTTTGTAAATATCAAAAGAAAAAGTGAGAAGTTGAGTCACTATCCTTCGACTGCTTCGAAGACTGAACAACTTCATCAAATAGTTCTGCTAAACATAGAACTAATAGTTCTGCTAACAATAGAACAATAGAACTAAATCTGCAACAATAGAACAGAGTTAAACACTAATAGTTCAACACTTCAACTAATAGTTCAATACTACAATGCGACTAAAGAGTGAAGTGAAGATGCAACTGAAGAATCTGATGGATCTGAGAAATGAAGTGAAGATGAGACTGAAGAGTGAAAGAAAGAAGCTGAGAAATGTGCGTGAGGCGGAGAAACTGAGAAAGAATAAGGAAATCAAAGAGTGAACTATGAATTATGAAACCCTAGTACGTATATACTTAAGGGTAAACTAGTAAATTAGTTCATCCTTATTGGGTTATCGGTTTTACCCAATAACAGAATTGCCAAATCGGACCCGAACCGATAACCGAATAGAAAAAATTTAACCCGTTACCGAACCGTTAATCCAATAACCCAATACTGATAACCCAATAAATAATTAACGGTACGGGTTATCGGTTTTACCCGATATATGCCCACCCCTATTTCTTCATAATACTAGCTCTAAGTTATTATTTATATAGTACTTATCATTTAATTAAGTAGTTTCAAGATATTGCTGCTATTTCTGTTGCATATTACTACATAACTCTATAGCTACTTCATACAAGGAGACTTCAGGACAATGTCACGACTCGGATTTTCTACCCTCGGGAGTCATGATGGCGCCTACTAATGTGAGCTAGGCAAGCTGAATATTTAACAAATTACCTTTTTACCCATTTTATACTCTTTAACAATTAAAAACAATAACGTGAAAATTGCGGAAAATTTATAATAAGCGGAAGAAAAGCAACAGAATATCTTAACATGTATCCAAAATAACTGTTTGAGCCTCAACTACCCAGAACTGGTGTCACAGTTTCACAAACGATCTAAGAATACTACATACAAAGTCTGAAAAATAAACGATACACTGTTTCTGAATTAAGGAAATGAAACGGGAATAAAGGGATAGAGGGAGACGCCAGGCCTGCGGACGCCTGCAGGTCTACCTTGGATTTCCGCGTGGACTGAAGGCAGCCACCCAATCTACGGTTCAAAAGATGCTCGGGGATCTGCACACACTGCAGAGTGTAGTATCGGCACAACCGACCCCATGTGCTGGTAAGTGCCTAGCCTAACCTCGGCGAAGTAGTGACGAGGCTAGGACTAGACTACTAAATAACCTGTGTAGTTAATTCATATACAGTGGAAATAGAAACAGATAATTACAACTAAAGTTGGGCGGGGGAAACATGCTACGGGGAGTAACAGATAACAACAGAACGACTATATAGAAACATAAGAAATGCTCTAAATCAATTACCAGCAAAATAAGGAAATAGAACAACAGGCACACAAGTAATACCGTTGCAGGCGTGCAACCCGATACCATTACATATGATACCATTGCAAGCGTGCAACCCGGTCCCATTTCTTACATTATCGTTGCAGGCGTGCAACCCGCTCCCATTTCATATATCACCGTTGCAGGCGTGCAACCCGCTCCTATTTCACATATTACCGTTGCAGGCATGCAACCCGTTCCCATTTCTTTTATCAACACCAATCAAAAGAATCCCGGCAAGGGAACAATAATATTAAAACAAACATCCTGGCAAGGGAACAATAATGATAATAACATCTCGGCAAGGGAACTATAATGATAATAACATCCCGACAAGGGAACAAAAATGATAATAACATCCCGGCAAGGGAACAATAATAAAATTCTCATATAAAGCGCAATAAACCACACCGGAGGCATAATGATTGCAATTCAAGACTTACGGGCATGCTTGACACCGCCGTATAGATACTCGTCACCATGTCTATACGTCGTACTCCACAATTAACACGTAACAAATAAGACTCGACTTCTAGTCCCTCAAGCTAAGGTTAGACCAAACACTTACCTCGAACTTCCACGGCCAACTCAAACCTCAAACACCGCTTTTCCTTTTGAATTCGGCTCCAAATCAATTGTATCTAGAAATAATCGACTTAATAACATCAATAAACGCTGAACAATTCGACTCCAAGGCTTAATTATATATTTCCTATCATTCTTCCCAAAAAGTCAAAAATCGACCCCGGGCCCGTTTGGTCAAAACACGAGGTTCGGACCAAAACCCGATCACCTCCAAAATTCGACCCCGAAACGAGGTCTAAATACCAATTATACAAAAATCCCTAACTCTACCCCAAATCCCCAATTTTTCTACCCTTATGAACATGATTTAGGCCTAGAAATCTAATGGGTGTTAATGAAAATTGAAGAAAATGAGTCTAAGATTACATACCTATGGATTTGTGGTGAAGTTCTCTTTCAAAAATCGCCCAATTTGGAGTTTGGAAGAAGAAGTTATGAAATTTTTGGTGAATCCTGTTTTTGCTTCTGTTTTAAAATCACTGGACAGACCTTCATCGCGTTCGCAATGGGTCAGGCCCAATAAACTATCGCGTTCGCGGAGCTTCAGCCCCCAGAGCCTTCGCCTTCGCGTTCGTATGGACGCGTTCGCATAGGATAAAATCCCTCTCCCCTTGCCTAGGCCCAAAAGCCTTCGCGTTCGCAATAGCAGGCCCGCGTTCGCGAAGGGAAACACCCCCAAAGCTTCGCGTTCGCGTAGAAGGAAGTTTCCTTTAGCCTGACTTACCCTTGTCGACGCCCCCTTTTTCCCTCCCTCCAAAGAGCGAGAAATCGGGTTTACGACATTTAGGAAAGACAACTTTATTCCCGTTTGGGATTGGGTTTTTGAATTTAGAGAGTCGCCACCTAATGATTATAGTGCATTAGGACACTTTAAGAGAGAATTTGAGATGAAAAACCAGAGTTCGGGTAAGGGCTAGAGATTATCTCGAGGGGAAGGTGTTAGGCACCCCCCCAAGATCCACTAGTGTGGTTCCCGGCCATGCTACAATTGTGACTTTAAATGCAAACAACAAGTAGACAAGAAAGCATTGCAAATACGATGAAACCACTCACATAACAATTGCAAATAAAAAGCACGAAAGGATTTAGAAGTGCTGAAATCTGGAAGGAAGTAGTTTTATAATCACAGAAAGGTGTGAGAGAAAAGAAGGGGTCAAATAATTGATGCAAGCAACTTAAAAGAAGTAAAAGAAGCGGAAGTTGAAAATTGGACAGCTTTTAAAATTCTGAAAATAACAAACTAATAAAGGAGGGGGGGGGGTCCTAGGTTTATATATCACATGGATCATTTACACAACACCGGTATCCAATTGTACGCGTAGTGTTATCGTGTGATCATCATCTCCATGTCTACCTTTCCCACCCCGTTAAGGTATTAAAGCGAGGAATGATATCGTTACTTATTGCATGCTATTACCCGCCCCAATCCTATCAGTCCCGGAGGCAAATGGACTACTAATCCTAAAGGGAAAGGGGTTTGGGGCTTTTAGAAGTTTTCAAAGGACAAAATGCTAAGGCGTCAATCAAAAATACGTAATGCAAATAAAGGGGAAGCAGACAAGCAAACAGGGCTCAAATATGCCTCCATAAATCAGATAAAAGTCATAGAGTTTAGCATGTCTTACACGTACTGATTTGGTCTTAATTAAATAATGCGACGAGCGGACTGGTTCAACGCATATTTTTTAGACGGAAAGTCTACATTAGGCTCGCTCGAATGCAGTTGACTAAAACCGATCTGATTGATTAATTAATCATTTTGTCTAAGTGTTGGATAGAACTAGGCATGATATCTACTGATTTTAGAAATAATGCAAACTGATTATAGAAAAAGGTTATCAGTTTTAACATAACAATACGAGTTCAGCAGTTGACGTAGCTTCTATTCAGATTCGAGATTTCCTATAGGCATGCTCTCTATATGTTTATTGATTTTTGATATCTTTTAGACGTTAACAAAAGTCCTATGAACATGGTATCTATATGCAGCTCTTGTTATTAAACCTACAAACTATTTGCCTAGTGATGTTTATAAATGCAGAATGCTGTAGTCTATAGACCGTATTTTATAGAACAATTGGAAGTTAATCCTGTAGGCAGGATATCTATGCGCGGAGACGCAGAAATTATGAGTGAATCCTATAGGCATGATTTCTAGGTATGAGTTTGCAGAAGTTAAAAGTTAACCTATAGGCATGATATCTAGGCGTATGTGCAGAAATTAAAAGTTAACCCTATAGGCATTGTCTCTAGGTGTGAAATTGCAGAAATTAAGAGTTACCCTATAGGCATGATTTCTAGGTGT